CACTCACCCACACTAGGGTTTAAGCTCAGGTAAAACCTGTTTAAAGTTTGCTCACCTGGTGCGTAAAAGTAATTTACCACTGATGACGGTTGCCTTGTTAGGATCAAACCAACTTCGGCCGCCGTCAATACTACATTCAACAGTGAGACCGGGAAATGCTATATTTGTAACGAGAACTCCATTGATAATTCTAAAGAGACAGACATAATAAAAAAGTGACATATAATTTCTTGTGTCGTGGTATACTAAGAGAGGCAGCAACAATCTTTAATTGCACTCTTTCTTGCCTTTACAATTAAATAATTAGTTTTTTAGGAATGAAATGCCTTGAAGTGCTTTAATCTCAACGATTTGCGAAGTTTTCAACGATCCCCCAGCTACCAGGAGATTTTGCCGATCTCTGATTAGATTTCAGTTCGATTTTCGCACATCTCAGATTTTTCAGCCCATTCAAATCAAGGATTGCAAGATTCGAGAAGCTTAAGATAGATTTCGAACGATGGATCTGAAACCTTTAAGATGCCTCATCTTCTACTTGTGACAAGTACTTCACTTCATTCTCAGGTTATCCACCCCTCTCCCCCTCAAAACCCTCATCTCAATAGTTTTTTTTAAGATTGCCGATAATGACAAACTCTCCTGGGTGGAGGGAGGGTTAATTCACCGCCCTAGAACAGAACAAAATGACCCCTGGCACCCCCTGACACACTGCCCATTAGGCTACCGGGTCACGCAAGCGTTCCAAATTATACTGGACTAATGTAGACCTACCAACTAATTTGAGAGCAAATACTTACCTGGCTCCCGGAAGAGGAATATGATAAGCTATACCCAGTTTGTCCAGGCGAGCTAGATCCTTGTGCCCCAGAGTGTTAGCAAACTTTGTCCAGCTTTCCTCCTTCATTTTGTTTCTGCTCAATTTATTTCTCTCATTTTCCCAAGCGTCTTCATGCCAGGCTCTCTCGGCCACTGCAAGAAGTCTTGGAAATATCATGGACTGGAACTGAGCGGGAGTCCTTATTGTTTCTGACCAGATGGCGCCGGCTAAGCCTTTGGATTAAACAAAAGTTGTAGCTTGAATGAGTCTATAGATACCGAAAAAAAGGTCTGCATACGAGTTAAGTGGCCCATTAGGCCGGAGCTTATCCCGGTTTCAGTAGCATAAAGCGACTAGGAGTATTTCTACTCGCCCCTGGATGGTATGCTAGTCCATCGTAGGGTTCATAGTATTCCAGCATTAAATTCGCCGGTACCCATTTACACACCTGGGTGGAGAGACGCACTGTGAGAGTAAAATGTCATGTCCAGGAACACAACGCAATGTCCCCGGGCAGGGCTCGTACCCGAACATCACAATCTCGGATCGAGCACTCTAACCATGAGACTACCGCGCCTTCACAAATATACAGATGCTGGATGAAATTATTTGACTATTTCACCACTCACCGATAATATTGTCAAGTTTTTGCGGTGAAACACAGTCTCCAGCTTCAGTACAGTAATCAGCGATCGCCCTGCCATCCCCGTTAGTCTCTATGCTGTCATACAAATGCTCAGGCATGAAGCCAAATGCCTTCCGAGTGTCTGTGTATCGTGTGGCCCAGTATAAACCTCTTTCTTCTGGATCCGGCTCGTATGGATGATCAAAATACAGATGGGACGCCTGAGTCATTATTACCTGAAGTGAGGGGAAGTAACTTTTAAAAATTAATTTTATAGTCTATCACTTCCCTCGTGTTTTTGGTGATGTGTTGCAGTACAGAAATCGCTGATTGAACCTTTCCAATGGTTCACATTATACATCAATGGGTGCCCATTTAGGGGGGTTTTCAATTCAGTGTCGTAAAACCAAAACCAAACCAATTACTAAGCAATTAGACCACGCAACCAGTCTCAATCCGTAGTAAGACCAAAACCAAAGTTATGCCTGATTACTTTCTACACTCAATTGAAAACCGCTCTACTCTTTTTCTCCAGATCTAGTTTAAAGCTCTTTGCTTTTCTTATTAGCTTCAAATCCACTAATCTCTTAATTCTTACAATCCATGCAAACCTGTAGAGGCAGCAGTTTTAGATCTAGATGCATGAGATGAAGCCGATTGAACCGTCCTCCTCTAAAGATCACGCTGACTATGGGATTACTGTTGTACCTTGTATCCGTCATTTGCTAGTCTGTAACCAAGATTCACTGTACTTCCCCAGGCGTAACCGTAAAACACATCAGTGCCCAGTTTCTCCCTTATTATAGGCGTGTGTGTATGATCCATTAATCCATCTTCCCACAGTCCCAAATGGACACCGTATTTTTCAACAATTTCAGCGACACGCCGAATAAAAAACGCCTTCCAGTCCGGATAACCAGACTTGATTTTCTTGGATAACCTTTCGCAGGCGGGAGACAGGCTCCATGCGCCCAGTGGAACTTCATCACCTCCAAAATGGATGACTTTCAGTGGTTGAATCCCTTTGTGCATAGCTTGCACTTCGTGTACCAGCTTTTCCACGAAGCGGTAAGATGTCTCAATACATGGGTTAACAGAATTATTGAAGAAAAATTGTCCTGATTGGTAACTAGATTGGTCCTCTAAGTCGTTCAAGTAGAACCTCAGCCCACTGTCATTTTGGCCCATGTCGCGGTACCTTTTGTACCTTGCCTCCATGGCTTTGATGGCGGCGTGTGAATGACCAGGGAGGTCAAACTCTGGGATGATTTCAATGTGTCGTGCTCTTGCGTACTTCAAGAGTTCTTGGTAATCCTTGACAGTATAGTGACCACTGCCAGACGTGTTGGTGAAGGGACCTGATCCTAGTTGAGGCTCTAGACAACGTATTTCTTTTAGATCATGGCATCTCTGTGATGCAACCTGAAGGATTAGGATTCAAAAACTTGTTGGAAGCTATCGAAAGATGCCTTTACGTATCATGAAACCGAAAGCTTTGTTGCTCTTCCCAAACTTTTCCAAAACGTTTTGGTTTTCTGTTAAAATCTTATCTATCTATTTAAATTACCTACTGTCTGGGCTATCCGCTCGTCTGGCAATCTACTTGCCTATTTGATTATTTGTCTATCTGCCTGCTTGTCTGCCTGTCTGTCTGTTTGTCTGCCTACCAGCGGCCTGCCTCCTTTCTGCATATCTGTCTGTCAGACCGTATGTCTGATTGTCTACCTTAATTGCTAATCTGGCCGTCTGTCTGTCTGTCTGTCTTCCTGTTTGTCCTAACTGCAGCCTGCTTCCTTTTTAAATATCTCTCTGTCAGACTGTCTGACTGTCCGCCTGTCTGCTTCTCTACATTACTTGATAGCCTGGCCGTTTGTCAGCTGCCTGTCTGCCAACCTAACAGTCCGCATTCTCCTGTTCCTGCAGACTTACTTCTGTAAGCTGTGGTAATCCAGGAATCTCCAGTCTCCATCCTTCGTCATCGGTTAAATGAAGATGAAGTTTGTTCATCTTGAACATTGCCATCCCATCCAGAATCTTCATCACCTCCTTCTTGGGGAGGAAGTTCCTAGCAACATCGATGCTCAGTCCTCGATACTCGTACCTCGGAGCGTCCTTCACGGTGACCCAGGGTGCCTTACCCTCGCTCACGATACTCAGGAATGATTGGACTCCCCAGAACACCCCTGTCGGAGTTTTACCAACAATCTTAACGACTTCTTTCGAAGGATCAACCATCATGCTGTATGCTTCATCGCTGTCACGTTTCTTGTCTTTTATATCAATGGTACCAATCTTCAATTCAATAACCTTGCGTGACGGTTTTCCAATTCTGTTTCGTCGTATCTTGAGTTTTTCTACAGAAAGACAAGCAACCAGATAATATATTTGACGGACAACTACCACAAAGTCCCGGAAAATTACTCATCTTATGAGTTACAGATACTATAAGCCCTGCCCCTAGACAGTGTAACACATTTCTAAAACACATACCTGCCAGAAATTGAGCTTCCTTATCCAAACATCTGTCAGCGAAAATACTCCACTTTCCATCATTCAAATCCACTCTTTGGGACTTGCTTAGATATTTCAAAACCAGTGGAGTCGGTATAATAAGATGTGCCGGTCTTTTGAGGTCTGCAATGTCATTGATCTCGAAGCGTTTTTCTGGAGTGAAAGGATCATACAAATCTTGTGCAGAGCGCTTCCATTTGGAGGCTGAATTAAATGATCCAACGAAATTCAAACTCTCTCCTTTGGTGCTTTCCAGGATCCTCGGTTCCAAACCACTCACGACCACATACCAGTTTGGCATGACGTCAGTCTTGGCAACGATCACGCCCGAAGCGCTGAGGTCAACTTCAACTTTGTTATCAGGGAGTAGGTTTGGAAAGTACTGAGTTGGCGTCAGCTCGTAAAGATAACCGTTTATGTGAAGCACGGTCATTTTCGAGTTTGACGATCCAAAAGGATCAATATTTTGACGCATCTCTCGTATTGCGTTGAAATAGATTTTCCAGTCGCTTGGACTTATAGCAGAGCGACCTTTATTGGTTAACGTCACACGGACCGAGCAACTTCCCCCTATGTTTGATACGACGTCAAAACGTAAATCCAAACTAGACGCCATGTTGTCTAGGGAAGCTTGATCTATTGCCTGACAAAGAACTGCATAAAATAAGAAATATCACCATTAATTTCCAGTTCAGAAAGTTATTATGTCGAGTATGCTAGCAAATTTAAAATAACCTTTCTTTTAAAGCTAGTTGATCGTTGAAGTCAAAAGGTGAAAAAACTAACTTAATTCCACAAGCGACCCTCCATTCAAACTAGATGCATTTGGATAAATTTGGTTTACATCGCATAGCTCTTCTATGGGCTTGTTTTTGTCATCCTTTGTGTTCAGAAGAAAGTTATCATGTGAATTCTCTTTTCCCTTCTCTCGGTAAATCGCTTTACTGTTAATCAGATAAAACAATCTTAAACCAACAGTCCATGACCTGCTCTCTCCAGCAGGTGTTAGAGGTAACAGGTCGTTGTATTTACATTTTCTATTTAACGACAATGAGTCCGACCCACATTTGTTTTTAATAAAAAGAATTGTCATTAGAGTAGACATCGATGCCTGGCCTAGCGAATTATTCATCATTTGCAGTGCAAATATTCTGTTCCCTTTAGTAAAGCAATACTAACCTGCTGCAAGAAGACACTTGAACGTCACGCGTGAGAGCGCGCTTTGCCATTTTCTTGGTCTCATTGGTGATCTTTGAATGTGGGTTCCTTATGTTGGCACAGATAGGTGGAAAGATTGTTTTCTAAAATTACTGGTTTTCTTTTAAGAAAAATCTTTCATAGAGCACTATGGGTGGAACACAATTGCCATTTGCTTTGACCTACCAGAATCGTTTAACACAAACTAAATCACGATTTGTCTTCAACCCTGCTACGAACGAAAGCTTATGCTTAAAGCACAGACCTGCATTCGCACAGAACACAGAAGTATAAATTCAGCCACAAGAAGGCTGCCTATAGAAGCGGCTGCGTCATAAGCACTTTGTCTTCTTCTTATTAACCTCCTGACAAAATACGTAAACAAGACTGGTCCGGTTAAAGCCTTTTGACCATGTCGTTATCCGGGCGTTGCAATGGTTAATCAGCAATTGCATCATTGTTAATCCATTTGTTGTTTATGTTACCGGAGTTTGTCAATCAATCAATCAATCAATCAATCAATCAATCAATCAATCAATCAATCAATCAATCAATCAATCTTTATTTAAAACACGAAATCTTATCACAAAAATGGTCTTACTTGGAGTCGTGTAAAAAGTTGCAAAGAATAAATTAACTATATTAACAGGAATGTATTATTACATTTCATTAACTAACGAACTAATTAACTAGTTCGTATAGTGTGATCGTCCGGGTGAGTGTAGTTCTGAAAAGAACTGTTGTTGGTGACTGACGTTTCGACAACCTGAGCGGAAGTCATCTTC